CTTGACTTTCTAGAGATTTACTTCAGTGTTGATGAAGAATGTCTCCAGGTGAGCCTGATTGGGTTCAGCTAGTTGTGACAGATGCAGTTCATTTGGGGGTGGGAGGGAGCATGGTGATGAGAGGATAAAAGGCTTTGGAAGCCACTACAGCACCCTTTCTGTCAGAGAAACTTTCCAGTCTTCTGTCTTAGTAACTGCCTCTTAGTAACTGCCTGTTGCTTTTGCCATCTTATTATGCCATCACCCATTCCTCTTAATTGTTTTCTTCCTTTGGAGTTTTCCCCATCTGCGGATTTGAGACCCTGCAGCAGCCCCTTAGTTATCCCTGGCAAAGACAGCAAAAGCTTCCTGGGGGGAGCTCCTTTGGTCAGGACCCGCCGCCTGCCTCCGCGCCTGGCCTGGTGCTCCATTGACTGGGATCAGCTCTGCCTCCTGCAGCCCCTTGGTTCTGGGGGCTTTGGTTCTGTCTTCAAAGCCACCTACCACGGTGCAACTGTGGCTGTGAAGCAGGTGAAGAAGAGTAGCAAAAACCGGTTGGCATCTCGGCAGAGCTTCTGGGCCGAGCTGAACGTAGCCTGGCTACAGCATGACAATGTGGTGCGTGTGGTGGCTGCCAGCACGTGTGCCCCGGCCAGCCAGAACAGCCTGGGCACCATCATCATGGAGTACGTGGGCAATATCACCCTGCACCATGTGATTTATTGCACCGGCAATGTGTGGAGACAGGGTGAGGATGAGGAAGGAGGCTGTGGAAGGAAGGCCCTGAGCATGGAAGAGACTGTGTGCTACTCTTGTGACATTGTGACTGGCTTAGCTTTTCTTCACTCGCAGGGCATTGTGCACTTGGACCTGAAGCCTGCAAACATCTTCATCACCGAGCAGGGACTGTGCAAGATTGGAGACTTTGGGTGCTCCCAGAAACTGGAGGAGGGTGTGTCCCAGAGTCCCCATGTTTGCCAGCAAGGGGGCACATACACACACCGTGCCCCTGAGCTCCTCAAGGGAGAGAGGGTCACTGCCAAAGCAGACATCTACTCGTTTGCCATCACCCTCTGGCAGATGGTCACGCGAGAGCAGCCCTACCTGGGCGAGCGGCAACACGTGCTCTACGCCGTGGTCGCGTACAACTTGCGGCCCTCGCTGGCTGCTGCTGTGTTCCACCAGTCACCCATGGGCCAGAGGCTCCAGAGCATCATCAGCTGCTGCTGGAAGGCTAATGTCGAGGAGCGCCCGAGCGCTGCCCAGCTGCTTCCCAGCCTCAGGGCCCTCCTCAAGGGGAGCCTCTAGGAAAACTCAGGACTCTTTCCATGTCTTTTATTGTTGGCTTGTTTTTCTTTCCCTCTGCCTCTCCTCCAGACAGAATGGTTTTAGCCCCTGTGTCAACTAAAGGCTTTCTTGCTGTTTTTTATACTAAAAAAAAAAACCAACACCAACCTGCTTTGTTATAAGAAGATTATAAATAAAGAGATTTAACAGATCTGTGGGTTTTTACTGTGGGAGGGGATAGAAGCAAGGATAGAGATGTTGGCAAATACGGCTTTTTCTGGTTGATCTCCTGTGTGCTGCCTTGCTCAGGGAGAAACTGGGGAATGTGATGTGCAGAAAATAACTGGTTTTGAGTTAGTGAAGTAGAAAAAAGGGCTGCTTTTGGAAGGTTCTTTGCACATAATACCTTTTGGTATTTCCAAAGTGTCAGATATAAGTTTTCTTCACACTAGCTAGGTTTGTGGATTTGAGCTTTTCCTCCTCATTTACAAAGGAATGAGTATGCATCACAAATCAATGAATGCAGAAGAAGTGTCAGTGGGTTTTTTCTTGTGCTTAGATGTACTTAATTTCAGTAATTATGCTGTGTCTGGAGTGTAAAATATAAACTACCTGATCTCCCCATTGAAATAAGGAACCTTTTTTGTCAGGCTAAGGCTGTTAAGGGGAAGAAGGTAAATTAAGAACCTGTGCTTTTCTAAGACCCCTGCTATCAGGGATGTTAGTTGCAACTTACTAGTTTGGTATATTGTAAACTTTAATATCTGGAGTATTATAAAGAGTGCCTGGTGTGGAATATGAAATTCCCAGGTTTTGGAGCTACAGAGAGAGTTAAAAAAAGTTTTAAAACTGACAAAACATGAAGGGAGATAGATAGATAGATAGATAGATAGATAGATAGATAGATAGATAGATAGATAGATGCAAAAACGTCATAAATCAGGATAAGGATATGATTATTCACCCTTTGTAACTCATGGGTCTGTTTTAGGCAAGATAATGGAAGTACTGAAAAGGAAGATTGCTTAAAGCAATATACCGATACTCTGCTGGTGCTCAAAGTAGACACTATTGAACTACATTCTGTGCTGCTTATATCTTATCTACTATCTTTCCTAATCTGGTTGTAACCTGTCTGGGAAAGGAAGTGCTGTAGGCAGTGCTGAAGACAAAGAGCTCTGATCCATGACTTATTAGAACTGATAATCATAGATCTGTTGAGACTTCAACCCTTATCTGGAGCTAGGAAGATCTGACTGCTGTAGCTGATATTGCCATTCTGCTCAAAGACTCTGCTTCTTTTTAAGACAGGAGAAAGAGTGATGTTTCAGTCAAATTGTTTTTCTTCTTTCTCCTTCCTCCCCCTTGCTTCCATTCTGGAAAAAAAATTCCCAAAGGAGTTGAGCCAGTTTCCTGATTTCTGACACACATCTGTTCTTAGCCCCGTGAAATCCTGGAAATGAGCAACTATGTGAATTTGAGATGATTCTGTAGGTCTTTATGGTATTTGGATTGGTCATTGAAATTAATGGTTTATAATGCATATCTAAGCTTAACTATTTCTTGTTGTCCATCTTAAGGATGTTCTGTCCATCTTAAGGAGAACCACACAATGCTGGCTGGAACCAAAAACCTAAGGTAAACTCTGGAATAGTTTTCCTGTGTTTTCTCTGTCAAAATAATTACACCATATACCTAGAACTTAAGGGGGTTTTTGTGTTGCATAACTTATTTTCATAAACATGAAATATCTTACAGAAGTTACCATAAGCCAGTTACCTTTTAAAATTATTAGCTGAGGGCTCATAAGATTAAATGTTGAATAGAGGCATTGATGTGCCTTACCTTAACATCAAGCCTTACAGGGAAATGTTTCTCCAGTTTTCAAAATAATATAATAAAAAATTGATATAAAAGTTGTTAGTAGTTCCTAGATGCTTCTGTTGTATTTATTTTGCTGATCTAAGTAGCTTGTTGCTTAAACTGCTAGAAACTTGATATTTTGTGCTCAACAACACTTTGGCTTCAATAAGTGCTACTTGAGTGTCTGTGAAAAATCAAGCAACCTTCAAGTTCTTTGTTATACTTGACAGAAGAATACTGGAAGGCCAAGCCCAACTCCTGAAGCATAATCAGCTCTGCAGATGTCTCTGTCAATTTTACTGGATTCTCTTTTGAGAGGGAGTGAGAACTCTGCACAGCACACAAGATGTAGGCACATCATAGTCTGTCGTGATGATGTTCCCTTTTTTGAGTAACTTCTAAGATTTGGTTTGCTTCTTTTTTGAATGCTAGTGATCTTCAAGTTCATACTAATCAAGAAACATCTCAGGCTTGATAGCTCAGAATCCACAGTCCCATACGTTGAGGACTTTTTTTGCCCATTTTTCTCATCAATCTACCTTGAATTTCTTTCAGCCAGTTTGTAGCTGGCCCTTGCACTCCATGTCCTAAATAACTCCAGAAACAACAAATTTGTCATGCTCTTGTACTTTGTTTCTGGATGTGGTGAGCATCACAGGACCCTGTGGAACACTACTGGGTATTTTCTGTAGTTGAGAGAACTGATGCTTTACTCTTACCCTCTGCTTTAATCTTCTGATTTATTCAGCCCAGGATTTTTCTCTCCTACACGTGGCTGCTTAGTACTTTTAAACAGTTTGCAGTGAAGGAACATACCAACCCTGCTCCTTATCTGCATGCTGTTGGTGCTCCTAAAGAATTCCAATACAATTCAACACAATTGTGAAGCACAACTACTTCCAACCAAAGCAATCCTCCTAATCAAGTTGTATTTCTGTGTCTGTTGATTCCTTTAATATCTGCTAGTGTATCTTGTACAGATGTCAATAATTTAATTGGGAAAGTTATTTCTTGAAGACTTCTATGGGATATGGTCCTGGAGGAAAGAGAGGCCCAGGACACCTGGTTGATTTTCAAGGATTGCTTTCTTCAAGTTTAAGATTGGTCCAGCCCAATGAGTAGGAAATCAAGCAAAGGTGGCAGGGTGCCTCCAAAGATGAGCAAAGAGCTCCTGATTAAACTCAAACATAAAAAATAAACTCACAAGGTTTGAGAGACCGATGGGAAGTCTAGAGCAAGGAGGACTTACTGTTGGTAGGGAAGGACCAGGTTAGGGAAAATTCAAGTAAGACCTACACAAGGTTGTGAAACCTGATGGGATGCACTCACAAATGCTGACAGAGCTTGCTGCTGTCATTGTGAGGCCATTCTTGATTGCCTTTGGAAGGTCATGGTGGTCAGGAGAGATTCCTGAGGATGGGAGGAAAGCAAATTTAATTCTTATTTGCAAGATGGCCACAAAGGAGGATCTGAAAAACTTCAAGTCAGTCAACCTCCCATAAATCTGTGGGAAAGTTGTGGAACAAAATTCTGGAAGACATTTCCAAACATATTAAGGACAAAAAGGGGATTGGGAGTGGTCAGCTTGGATTTATGAGTAGGAAAGCATGCCTGATCAACCTGGAAGCCTTCTGCAATGAGACTACTGGCTGCTGGATGAGGGGAGAGCAGTGGCTATTGCATATCTTGACATAGCCTTTTGGCACTGTTTCCTATTACGTCTTATAGAGACCCTGATGAAGTTCAGGCTTGTTAGTGAAAACTGAAAACTAGCTGAGCTGCTGGGCTTTAAAGGGTTGTGATCAGTGACATGAAGTCCAGTCAGTAGTGGTGTACCCCAGAGATGAAGACTGGGCCCAGCACAGGCTAACATGTCCATTAATGGCCTGGATGATGGGACAGAATGCACCTTCGGCAAGTCTGCAGATGATGCAGAATTGGATGGAGCAGTCAATACAGCAGGTATGTGTGCTGGCACTCAGAGGCACCTTACCAAACCAGATAAATCTGCTGATGGAAATCAATACATGGAACCGCAAAACTGGGCATCTGGTGGAGGATAACCTGATGCACCAGTACAGGCTGGGGGCTGACCATCTGGAAAACAGCTTTGCAGGAAAGGACTTGGATCTTCTGGCAGTGTTCTGGCAGGCACCAAGTTGAACGTGAGACAGCAATGCACCCTTGGAGCAAAAGTGTCCAACAGCACCCAGGGACACACTATGAAGGGTGTTACCAGCTCTCTCAGAGCATCACCAGAAGAGAGTCTTCCCTTCTGCTCACTCAGACCTGGTGAGATATATCTGGAGCCCTGTGGCCAGCTCAGGACTCTTCCAGAACAAGAAAAGCATTGATATTCTGGACCAGGAGTGCAGCAAAGAGCCGTTAAGGTGATGAGGGGATTTGAGCTTTTGCGTGAGAGGAGAAGATGAGAGATGGGACTGTTCAGCAGTCCCATCTGTGGAAAGAAAAGGCTATGGGCAATCTTGTCAGTTTGTGTAAATACTGATGGGAAGAAGTAAGGATGGAGCCATCCAGCCATCTTCTCAGTGGTGCCCAGTAACAGGAGAAGATGGGACACAAACTGAAGGACAGGAAAATCCATTTGAATGCAAGAGAAAACATTTTTACTGTGAGGATGGTCAAACACTGGAACAGGTTGCTCAGAGAGACAGATTTATCCTTTCTGTTTTCTTCATCTGGACATGGGTCCAGGTTTTAAAAGAAGCCTTCTTGCTTCTAAAGCTGGCATAAAAGCTAATGAGTGTAGCTGCATGTTGCTCTCTAACTTTGTCACACTTGTATTCCTCCATATAAAATATTAGCAGAAGGCACAGGATGCTAGCAGAGCATTTGTTACAACTATTACAGAATTCTGTTAATCCAATTTTTTTCCCCGAAGTCTTAATAGAAGCTGGTTGTGTTCTTTCTTCCTCCTTCCTCACACATATAGATGCAGCACAGTTCCAGAAAAGTAGCAAGGCAGGGTTATAAGTCAGGATGAACCTTAACGGCTTCTCATACCTAGTTTATTTATTCTCTTCCTTTGTGGAACTGATCACCAGCAGCTTGATCAGCCTACAACAGAATTATTGAAGGCCTGGAGAAAGTGCTACAAGCAGGTAATTGTAGTTTATTAACATCTTGCAGTGCTTTCTGAGCAGGAAACACTTGTGAAGCCAGTGCCAAGGATCCTTTGTATGGCTGTCCCGATCAACCAGTGAACCAAATACAAGAAAGGATGTAAATTTTATTTCTGTGGACTAAATGCCTTAGCAGGGTGTGTATAAAAGCATAATGAGTTTGAAAGGCTGAACTAGCATCAATGTCCTGGTCAGCTCTCTAGGGTCTAGCAAATTTGGAAGTATGGGATCCATCCAGTATTGCATGGATTCAGACAATGCAGCACCGGTGTAAGACTGGGCACAGTGGTATTTGGGCTGTGCCCTCCAGCCCTCTGCCAGCCAGGTACACTCTTCTGAGGGCAGGACCCTGGGATGCCATGTCACAGTGGCCATTTTTTTCAAGGTGAGCTGATGTTTTGGTTTTGCTTGATGTTCCCTGTCCATAAGAAGCATAAGCTGCCTTTCAATCTTCCAGCTCTGCAGCACTGAGAGCTAGCTATTCAAAACCAGGTGGGTTTATCTCCTGACTTAAAGCAGTCTGGAGTAACCATGGCCTGCATGGAATCTTCAGCTAGTTCTCGTCAATGTCTCAGTACCTAACTACCAAATCTAGCTGCATTTCCTAATATCAGAAAGTACATGTAAAGAAAATACTGTAAAGTGCTTGTATTCTCATGACTAGTCATGAACAGCAGTGGCTCTGGACATATTAACCATATTATAGCATTATATTTTGTGCTTTCTTGGTTATACAGATAGTATTGTCTACTAACAGAAAGCATAAATTTCAACTTCCCAATTTGGCCTTTTTTTTTTTGTTTTCTTATACCTAATGGCATCCACCACCCCCAACCTCCCCTGGTGTCTCCTCTTTTCCCTCAAATGGATAACTGTGCAAAACTTGATGGGATGCAGTTAAAGAAGAGATTTTATGTCATTTTATCTCATTCAAACTGAATGCCCAAATAAGAAGCAATACTAGTTAGTGCTGAAATGGTTTTAGGTCAAAATCAATTTTTTTTCATGCTTTTCTTCACAATGAAAAGCAACTTCCACTTGTTCTCTTTCATTCTGTGAAGTGCAACAATTACTTTAGCAGTCAAGTGATTATAAGAAAGACAAGAAAATATGGCTAGAAGCATGGGAAGTAGGCAATTGTAACAAGCAGCTCCTAGGAAGAATAAGAAAGAAGGAAAAGAGAAGGCACAGAAGTGTGATTTTATCATTCTGTATTACACTTCACTTACTATAGCTATTTCTGAAGGCTTAGTGTCTTTGCTTCCCAAATAGGAATACCAACCAACATTTCATAATCACTACCTTTTTTAAAAGTAAGCATAAGGTACAATTGTGATGCTAAACTTTTCATTTGGGGATGGGCTGGGTGGGAGTATTAGTTAAACATATTTGATAATTAAGTGGAGAATGGTCATCTGTTTCTCTTTGACATAGCTTCTGGCTTCTCATCAACCAGAAGCCTCTGTAACCCTGTTCCTGGATTGCTCTGTTGTTGTTTGCTTCATTTTCCTTGGAGGCTTCTTCTGTGCACACTTACTTTTTTCTTGATGTTGTCATACTTTATCTCGATGCAGAAAGAAAGAGATAACACTATCTTCAAATGATGAAAGTACTATATAATTTAGAGGCAGGCATATCCTTAATACAGAAGGTAGGATGGGAAGCATAAAGACGTATGGGTGGCTTCTGCATTCTGTGGTGAGGTATAACTGCAGCAAAAAAACCCCAACAAAACAAAAGTCAAAAGTTTTTACAGAATCTACCAAAAATATTTGTAAATTCAGTGGGTTGTAAGTGGCTGCTTAGTATTTGACTTCTATATAAATTTTTGCATCATTAGCCCCTGTGTTTATTAATCCATGCACTAGAACAAAGATTAAAATAGGAGTAGAAAATGGTTATTTTAAAAATTAACTGTACTTTGAACATTTAACTTATACTTTAGTTTAGCCATTTATCTGCTGCAAATACCTTAATGCAGTGCTCCAAGAGCCTCTTTCTATGCTTCAGTTAACCCAGCTGCCAAATATTTGTCTGCCTGTCAAATGCAAAGCCTTGAAACCAGTTAAAAAAGGAAAATGGATCAAACCAAAACAAAGACGTCTACTGGCTTCCATCCCAGTCTGCCATCAGCCAAGGATGCATGGGACAATTTGATAGTAGAGGAACCGTCCACCCTTGGACTTCTCCAAGCATGAGACTGAGTGTCACTCCCTACCTAGCTGGCAGTTCAATAGCCTGAGTGTTCAGCAGAGCAGGGAGGTGAGTGCACTTGCCTTTGCAAGGCACCTGGGATAATAGGGCAATTCATAACTTCATAAATACTCTACTGCACATGTGTCAGGCTACAAAGAGCAAAGCAGGCTGCAAATTGGAAACATAAATGTCCAGGTCTTTTTAAATTACTCCCCCCAAAAGGGCGGAAGGAAAACCAGTTTTATTTTCAAGCCGTGTATTTTTCTCAACCACTTACTTCAAAAAGGGTGGAAGGGGTTTGATGCAGATATGGCACAAGTGAAGCTGGCCCCAGAGGCCAGTATAGAAAGTTGCACCTGAATGGCTGGAAAGGCTTTTTTAAAACAGAGGAGTTAGTAGTATATATTATATAATACAGTAGGCTTAGAGAGATATTGTATACCTTGGCCACATCCTTGTTTCCCTCTTATTCATAAAAAGTTCCAGGAAAATGGTTTGCAGGTAACACAGAAGCCACATACAAAGCATTTGAAGGAAGGTATCATTGCACTGACATGCCAGTCGATGAAGGTCACCCAAACTTCTCTTTGCATAGAAAGTGACTGAACTTCTCCAGACGTCCCTTAAAGTTGTTAATCCTTGCATAGCTTTTGGAAATGCAATTACTACTATTAGATATTTTCTAATGTAATGGGGAGAAAAAGGATATTCTTAACATTTAATTATAATGAAATTCCTGTAAACAGCTGACTATCAGAGGAAATGAATTTCTTAATTTTTTTAACATTTTCACACTTGCATAGTTTGGTTAAAAAGGTGTGTATGGAATTGCAAACAGCATTTGGAAAACTGTCCTAACCATAAAAATGAACACTACCTGGTCAATCTAGTATGAAGAACCATTTGCACAGGGAGAGAAGGGAGGTGGTAGGAGGAGGCAATGACAGAACCCAGAAACAGGGAGAGGGGAGACACCCGCAAAACCAAACCTATTTGCTACAATCAGCGAAGCTCTCATTGAAAAATAAGTTCATTCCTATGTTGTATACTACAGGGCTTTCAGGTCCCCAGCTGACTTAAAGTACAGGTCTTGAACCAGTGCTTAAAGCCAGATGAGGCCACCAATTCAGTTCAGAGTGGTCTCCCATTACCACCAGTTCTCAGTAGTCTCATCTAGGTAAAAGAAGCACAGCCTTCCCCTGCACCCATCCTTCCAAAGCCCAACTGTCTTGGCCCATCAAAATGAAAAAGTGGCTAATTTTAAATGCTCTGCAAGCCATTACTAGCCCCCAAATTGTCTGTTTGTCCGTGAGGTTTTTTTTCTTTCTTTTCTTGCTGATTGCACTATGTGCTAATTGAGATGATTAGTTAGCACCATACGTTAGTGACACAAATGATGTAGCAATGTAGACTAGGAGACAAGTAGTGGGGGATTCTTAATTGGACAAGAAATTTCTTCTATTTACAGAAGATTTTAAGACTAAAAAGCTCAGGAAAGAGAAGAATCAATCCCTGGGTATTAGCATAAGCATTTGAGCCTGCCAGAATACAGGGATTGGCACTACCTCACACCAGGAATATTGCCCAAGAATGTATGAGAAGCAGCTTTTCCTCGGAACACCCAAGTGACTCTCAAAAAGCAAACACACCTCCTGCAAGGGTGTGAGACAGGAGCCACTGCTAGAATGAAGTAGCTGCTCTCAGGAATATCTTTCAACAGTCATAATTATTGAAAGATTATTTTGTAGTATATGTCTTTTATACTTAAAAGCAAAATATTAGACCATAGTGCTGAAAAAATTGCAAGTATTACTATTTTTTCAAATTGTTTTTCAGAAGACATGGCTACTATACTCAAAACCACCTTCTGTGTACACCATGATAATTAATTTCTTTTGCCTAAAAATTAAATGCTTGACCCCAACTCTCTTAAGTGCTAATATTATTTTTTTCCTCTGTTTTAAACTGAGTAGTAGATAACACTGCTCTCCCCCTGCTCTCTGTCTGGAAAATCTGTTGCTAGAGTTTTCACTGTGCACAGAGGTGGGAATATTGAAAATGTGACTGTGCGCATCTACATATAGTTGTTCTTACAACATTTAAGTGATGGTTGCAGGGGGAAAAAAGGCTTTTTAATAGTACTTCCTGGGAGAATAACCAAGCCATATTCCATATTTGTAACAACAGTGTCTTGTAGACTAGTGTGAAAGGACTTGTAAAAATCCTGTTTTCATTAAAAGTTATGTAGGAACTTTTGATGTGTATTTAGGTGAAATACAAGTTTAATAGACTTGCTTTACTCTCCTGTAAATTGTTCTTTTAAACAGAACTGCTTGGTTGTCTGTGAAATAGCATTGCAGACTCTACAGTTGTTGTTCCTGCCCCCCTACCACAACCTCGTAATTTCTACATTGTGGGCTGCAGCTGCCACTTTGCCACATCAGCCTTTTAGAGAAATTAGCAAGCCCTTTGAAATCAAAACTTCTCAATATTTGATGCCTCATGGATCACTTTCATGTTATGTCGTGGATCCCACCAGCTGTTCTGAACAGTCACAGTGTAACGATTTCCTCAGTTGGCTAATAATTCCTGTTTCTAAAGCACATCTTTAACACCATGGTATCCATCTCCTTTAGTTCCAGGTCCTAAGTTTTATGTTACTATTCCTGTTTCTGTCAGGTTTTGAGTAATTTAACTTGGCTAGTTCACATAGGGTCAGGTCACAACAAGAGAAGCATTACTGAATTGGCATTAGTCTTTCTTTACAGACTCCAGGGTTGGGA